TTTTTAATACTTTAGTTTTATACTTTTATATATTTTTCTGTTATTAGAGTCCTTTTGTTTCAGCCTGAAGACTTTCTTTAACATTTCTTATTAGGTTAGTCTAGTGGTAATTAACTCCATAAGCTTTTGTTTGTCTGGAAAACACTTTACATTTCCTTCAGTTTTAAAGGCCTACTGTGCCAGGTAGTGTAATATTGGTTGGCATTTTTTTGTTCAGCACTTTGAATTCATCTTCTGGCCTGAAAAATTTCTCCTGAAATATCTGCTGAAAGTTTTACATAACAAGTTGCTTTTTTCTTGCTGCTTTTAAGACTCCTTGTGTTTTTGACAATTTAGTTATATGTCTTGGTATGGGTCTTTGGGTTTATCTTATTTGGGCTTCTATCTGGCCTTCCTGAACCTGGATGTCTGTATCTTTCCCCAGGTTAGGGACATTTTCAGGCATTCTTTTCTTTTTTTGCCATTATTTCTTTGTTTTAAATATTTTTAAAAATTTTATTTACGTGTAGTTGATTTACAATGTTTTATAGTTTCTGTTCTACAGCATAGTGATTCATATATATATATATATGTATATATTCTTTTTCATATTTCTTTTCATTATAGGTTACTATAAGCCTTTTAATGTAGTTCCCTGTGCTATAGAATAGGACCTTATTGTTTATCTGTTCTGTACATAGTAGTTTGTATCTGCCAGTCTCAAACTCCCAATTTATACCTTCTTCCCCTCTTTCTCCCTGGTAACCATAAGTTTATTTTCTATGTCTGTGTGTCTCTTTGTTTTATAAATAAGTTCATTTGTGTCATTTTAAGATTCAACATATAAGTGATATTATATGATATTTGTCTTTCTCTGTCTGACTTCACTCAGTATGATCATCTCTGAGTCTCTCAGTATTGCTGCAAATGGCATTATTTCATTCCTTTTTATGGCTGAATAATATTATACACACACACACACACACACATATAATATATGATATATATCCCATTTTCTTCATCCATTCATCTACTGATGGACATTTAGGTTATTTCCATATCTTGGCTATTGTAAATAGTGTTGCAATGAACATTGGGGGGTGCATGTATTTTTTTGAATTAGAGTTCCCTCCAGATATATGCCCAGGAGTGGGATCGCTGGATCATATGGTAACTCTATTTTTAGTTTTTAAAGGAACTTACATACTGTTTTCCACAGTGGCTGCAGCAATTTACATTCCCACCAATACTGTAGGAGGGTTCCATTTTCTCCACACCCTGTCCAACATTTATTATTTGTAAACTTTGACGATGTCCATTCTGATTGATGTAAGGTGATACTTCATTGTGGTTTTGATTTGCATTTCTCAAATAATTAGTGATGTTGTGCATCCTTTCATGTGCCTTCTGTCTATATATCTTCTTATTTGTGAATTGTACCTTTCATTGCTTCTGGAATATTCTTAGACATTATAACTTTAAGTATGGTGTCTACCATGCTTTGTATCTTCTCTCTCTGTAACTCTAGTCATACTTATGTTAGATTATCTAACTCAATCCTCATCATTTTTTGACTTCACTTTCATATTTTTCACTCTTTCTATGTGCTACTATATTCGTTTACTAGAACTGTTGGAACAAATTATCATGAATTTGGTGACTTCAAACTACTTAAACTTATTCTCTCATGGTTTTGAAAGCTAGAAGTCCAAAAAATCAAGGTCTCTTCAGGGTTTGTTCCTTCTGGATGCTCTGAGGAAGATTCTGTTCCATATCACTCTCCTATCTTCTGGTGTTTGTTGACAGTTCTTGGTGTTCTTTGGCTTATAGACACATCACTCACATCCTTGCCTATGACTTCACATGGTCTTCCCCATGGGTCTTCTCTTCTGTATCTGTGTTTCAAATCTTCCACTCTTTTCTAAGGACACCAGACATTGGATTTAGGGTCCACCCTAATTCTAGGATGATCTCATCTCAAGATCACTAACTTAATCACATCCACAAAAACCCTGTTTCTAAATAAGGTCATATTCATAGGCACCAAGGGTTAGGATTTGGATATCTTTCTTAGGTGTGGGGGACATGATTCAACACACTGCAGCTACATTCTGATTAATTTACTTATATAAATCTTCCTATTTATTAATCTATCTTTAGTTATATCAAATCTACTATTAAATATATTCATTTATGGTTTTAAATTTTCAATTATTAAATTTTTATTCTTCAAAATACTTTGTCTTTTTTAAATTTCTTCTCTGCACATGTTTTAAAACTGTTCTTAATTTTTGTAAATATATAGAAACATGGCTATTTATATTTTGTGTCAAGTAACCACAGTATCTAAAGTTTTGTGGACCCCTTCCTATTTTGCTGTTTCTCTTGGTTCAGAGTGCCTTCCTTGTTTTCTCATGTGTTTGGTGAATTTTGATTGTGAGTAGTTCAATTTCATTGAAAATTTGCTTTTTGAGTTTCATGGAGACTTGGTATTAATGTGAGTTCCTTCAGAAAGTGTGTGTATTGCTTCTGCCAGAGCCCAAGATAACTTACTTGGAACTACTTTAAATTTTTAGTTTGAGATTTTGAGAATGATTCAGACTATAAATTTGTACTTTAAGTCAACATGGTAGCTGGGTTATAAATTCAATTTCTTAAGGATATTGCCTTCCTCTGCCAAATTGCCAAGTTTCAGACAAATTTTCATGTAATCTTTGCTGAAAGTGGGTGGTATTTCTAGTTCCCTCTTACATTAAGGTAAAGCCCTTTGGAGTCTTTGATTTAAAAGAAGAAAAATCTCTGCTTAGGCTCTCCACCTTAAGCATATTTTGAAATTTGCCTCCTGTACTTCAGGTGCCACAAGACCATGAAAGCTGATACTCAAGTTCACCTAGTTTGGCAAATTTGAGGACTCAAATTCCTCTTACCTCTCTGGTTCACACCATCACTATGTCTCTGGCTTGAGAATTTCTTACTTTGCAGCTCAACAGTTCTCATAATAAAACATTTTAAAGGTTTTATCTGGCATTTTAGTTATTTAAAAAGGGGAGTTTAGCCTAGTAACATTGTCTGTTGTCTTATCAGAAACAGAAATCTTATTTTTCTTTTTGAATCAATATGGATAATTTCTGTTATTTTAGAAAATTACCTATAGCATCTACATTAAAAAATGATTAGTCTAATTTTTTAATCATATTCTCTCATGGACTTCCGAATCTTAACTGTATCTGTGGTTATGGCCCAATTTTTATTTATAATTAATTTTAATTTATGGTTAGTTTATTTATAGGTGATCTTTTCTCTCTTTTTTTCTAACTTGATCAGGCCAATGATTAATAAAGACAAATAGGTGATTAAAAGAAAATGTGATAATATCTATGAAACTTCTGTGAGTGGGTTACAGAGGTAAACACAAGAGACATTTTGTGAAGAATTAAATGAGAAGATGCATGTAAAGCTCTTAGCACATTGTCTCATACTTGGAAAACCCTCAATAGCTGTTAAACTTTGTAGTATTAGGAAACCTTACTTAGAGAAAGGAGAGAGTAAGAATTGCCCAGACAAAGGGGAACAGTGGAAGAGTGGGAAAAAATTGATTAGTATTGATAAAGCCTAGAGTAACTAAATAAACTTTAATATAACTAAAGCATAGAGTAGAAGAGTGATAATTGCAGGAGATGAGACTAAAGAGCTAAGAGTAGAGCATATCATGTAGGGTTTGGTAGACATAATAAGGAATCTGGACTTTATCCTGAGAGAACATAATTATTGAAGGGTTTCAAGCAGGAAAGTATCCTGATTATATTTATCCTTTAGAAATATTATTTTGGCTACTGTATGGAGAATAGCTTAGATAGGGCTAATAGTGGGTACTAGGAGAACAGATAGTGGATAACTGAAGGAATACAGTAAGAAATGAAATGAGGAAATGGAAGAATTTGATATTTTGTAGATGAATCCTTAGAACTTCATGACTGACTGGATGTTGAGAGTGAAGGACAGGCTAGGGTTAGGACAAAACTCAGATTTATGGCTAGGGAAATCAGAGGATTGTCTTATTCATTGATATGGGGAGCAAAGAAGAAGAGCAGGCTTGGAAGATACAATGGTAAGTTTTATTTTGTACATGTTGAGTGTGAGATACTTTTGATACTTACAATACTCATGAGAATGTCTCCTTTGCTTCTTTGCCTCAGGAAAGTGTAAAAGATATAGGTTTCTCTATAAATAGCTATGAATTTGATCAATTTTCCTTAAAGGGAGGTTGGAGAGCCTACACAAAACTTTGAGAGTAGAAACCAATTCTTCCATTCCTTTCTTTGACTTCTCTATGTTTGACTTTGTGTTAAATATGGTCTGATCTTTGGCTTTAAAGAATATGTTTATCATATAGACAATTCAATTTAGCTTCTCCTGACCCAGCAAACATGGTATAGTTGGATACCTCTAAGATAGCCCCCAGTGATCTCCACTCCATAGTATCCACACCCTTGTGAAATCTCCTCCCCTTGAATGTGGGCTCAATTTTCAACTTACTTCTAAGGAATAGAGTGTGGCACAACTGATGTGATGGCTCCCCTGAGTTAGAATATTAAAGGACTATGGCTTTTATGTTTGGGTTCTGTATTTCATGCTGTCTCTTAAATGTCTTGCTATGGGGGAAGCCAGCTGCCATCTCATAAGTCAGCGCTGTGGAAACATGCAATGTGGCAAAGAACTGATGCCTACTAAGAGCCATAAGAGAGCTTGAGATTGTATTCTCTGCTAGTTGAGACTTGAGATGACTGCAGCTGACTTTTTGTTTGTCAAGTGAGAGATCATGAACCAGAATCACCCAGCTAAGCTGCTCCCAGATTCATGACTCACAAAAACTGTAAGATAATAAATGTTTGTTGTTTACAGCTACAAATTTTGGAGTAATTTGTTATGCAGCAATAGATAAATAACATCCCTAACTTGCTGGTAAGGCAATCAGGCTGTCATGAAGATTGTATTTGAGATATAAGAATGAGCATGTAATGATTGAGAGATCAAAGCTATTTTATTTATTGAAGTATTAAAATAGTACCTGAACAGAATCTTATCTGACAGAGAAATAACACCAGAACTCTACTGAGTGTGATTATCACCTAAGCCACCAGAGATACTGATCCTGCTGAGTTTCTTCACAGTTATGTAAATCAAAGGCTGAGAGACTGGCTGAAATCAGGATGTAAATCATTGGATAGTTTCTTTTGGAAAGCCTTACAATGAATCAAAAGGAATTTTTAATAAGAAATTGAAATGAAACCTCACCTTTGGAGAAAGAGTACTCTGTCATTCCTGTAGCCAAGGCACCCAGTCAAAGAAAACAAAGGATTATGACAACGATCCTGTGAATTGAGTCCTGGGGCTCCCTTAACCTTGTTTCTTACTTGACTCTGGAGAGTGGACTGGACATGATTTAGAGGCTAAAGACTGGTTCAACAATGGGAAGATGCAAAAATTCAAGTTGCAGACCCATCCTTTGATCTTGAGCCATTAGTACCACAGATCCTCTTGGCCTTTCATGTCTGACAAATTCTCAGGTATTGGTGACATGACTGTTGCTATGAGTGGGTAAAGGACTGTCTTGCTGTCTGAAATGGGAAGTGCCTGGCCAACACCCTCTTCTCTGGTTGTATGAGACAGGGACCCAAACAGGGAAGAGATGGGAGGAGGACAAAGACACCAGTTCAGAAGGTGATCATTTAGGGCTTCATGCTACAAGTGATTTTGGATTTCCAAAGATGAAACAAGTCTCTCCAGTACAAGGCAGCTGCAGGTCACAGTCCTAGGACCTGGCTGGTTTTGTCAATCTGGCAGTTCAGAGTCAGCGCAAAGGACATCCCCAACACCTGAGAAAAGAGTTGGGAAAATGTGAGGTCTTTACATGTGGAACTATCTCACCCATGAACCCTGGGATCAGCCCCAGAGAAAAAGAAAGTGTCCGTCACACTGAGACTACTCTTGCTATCATTTTCAATTCCTTCTCAGGGTTTTGTCCTTTAACTTTAGAATGGCAATGGGGAGACAAGTGAGGGTGATGATGGCAAGGCAGTAGGGTATGAAGCGTTGGGACATCTTTTGTGTCCTTAAGAAATCATAGAAGTCCTGCTGCTAGTATAATCAAGTTCTGCACAAGTCAACACTTTGTGCAATGAGTCACCTCTACTCATGTCTTAGGCCTCCATGGTTTCCAAGAAGAGAAAAATTGTTTCTCTCTCAGCTTCTTGATTAAGTCTTAGCTAATCTGTGATATGCTCAAGACATTTGGTATAAAAATGGTAGAAATCTCACATAATAAAAAAGAACACAAAAGTACCCCCAGCTACCCCTGATTTGTCAAACTAAGCAGAGAAACAATGTGGAAGTTGATCACAATTTCCATCAGCAACTTCTGCTTAGCATATAAGGCCAATTTTTTCCAGTGGAATATTTTATTCACCACACGCTTTTCCAGACCAGCTGAGTGAGGGACCACAGTAAGGTTCTGCCTGGTGACATTTAACTTGATTATGAGACACTCTTATCTCTTAGGGATAAGTTGACCAGATAGATCCTACAGCATTATTTTTGTATGTGTTAAATTGGTAATAATGTCATTTGCTACTTGACTGGGGGAGCTCATATTTATTGAGCACATACCATGTATCTGGTACTGTTCTAAAGATTATATGACTTAACTCATTTAATCCTTAAAGTAGTCCTGTGATTAAGCTCTTACCTGGATCACACATACACAGATAGTGATGATTCCAATATACAGGAAATTGGAGTGAAACCACAGTTTTGCTTTTACATAGCAACCCTGGAAAAAATTACAAGTACAAATGATACTACTATATTATTCAACTTTATATTAGTAGGTTTATTTGGAAAGAGAGTTTCTATTTTGCCTTATGCCAAGAGACTTAGGCCCAGTATTACATTTTCATTTTCTTTAAATGGATGAAAAAACAGGAATAAAGTAAAGAATATTAAACTACAGACTTTTCTTGTATCATTATCATTATAGTTATAATTGCACCTAAATTAGAAGTCTTAGGTGTTTACTCACTGAGTTAAAATGGCTTCCAAGAGGCAGGTCAGCAACATATGTTCTGGTGGTCTTTGAACATTCACTGCTGACTTGGGGTTGACAAAGGGGACTATAGGCTATGCAATCCTAGGACTGGTTGATTTCAGCTTCTATTTCAAAAGCCATTAAACCTACCACAGCCCTACCAAGCTCCAGGCAGGTGGCTGATTGGTGGGTGTCCCAGTCTTTCTTCACAGTCTTCAAGACTGGGAAAATTGCAGAAATGTCCAAACCATCCCAAGTGGGTAACATGGGATAACAGGACCTTAGGGACTTGTTCTAGTTAGAAGATGATATTGGATTCTTCTGTGGGTCTCATCTGAAGGTTCAAATTAAGTCAACAGTTCCATCAACACTCTCTCTCCCAACTCCTTACACCTTTGCTTATGATTCATTCTGCTAAGGAGTTGGATGCTGCCATCTCCAAGGAAGGAGAGCAGGGGAACAGGTAGAAGGAGATTTTCTGCCTCAACCTTACAAATTTTATTTTCAACCATAGGAAGATCTCAATTCTCATTCTTGCTCAAGACAAATCTAGACATAGTCTTCTGCCACTATCACATAAACGTTTCTTTGCTAATGTAATAATTTAGAGTAAATAGATAGATTCTTAATGGCATTTCTAGTCTAAATGAGCTTGTTCCTTTTTTTATTCTTTTTTTCTGATTTGTCTAGTTACCTGGGTTATTTTTCTGGTCTCCATTTTGTTAAAGGTTTCCTCTTTCTGGCTGGGAGGAGTAGGTCCTGTATGACTAGAGTTTCTAAGGTAATTAAAAGTTTAACCAAAGGGGTCAATAGCAGAAAAGTCTCCCCCAGCCCCACACATAAATTACCTTAACTTGCAGATCTGAGGGGCAAGATGCTGGTGGGCTGCCTATCCAGTCACTCGTGCCATTTACACCACAACACTTCAGCTAAAAGTCAAACCCCAAAAAAGTTATGGTTAGGAAGCTAACAGAAATAAAACGACAGGTGTTGGGAAAAAGATGGACCCTTCAGCTCTGACTCTGTAGCAGAAAATCCAGAATTGGCATGACTACAGTGTTCCTTAGAACTAAGCACTTTCAAATCTGTTATACCATTTCACTCACATAAAACTTCTCCAAGTAAAGAGGTAATACTTAATTTATTCACATTTTACAGATTAAAAAAACTCAGGCATACCGGGGACTTTATAATGGAAGGATCAGACTGACCATACCTAGACCCCTAGGCTGTTAGCATACTGATGCCATCTTAGGCCCTTTATAGTTTTTCCTGTCCTACAGCTAACCCTACCCAGGATTGTACTGTGCAGTAAATCATTTCTCTATCATCAAGGGCTTTGTAATTAATAGATATTGTGGTTTCTATGCTCTGTTGGTCCACAAATAATAATGAAAATCTTTGTTGACATATGCTCAGCTCCCACAAGACTAGTTACCCATTCATGAATCTTGACTTAGGAATGGCTGTTCTGTTTCCAAGCACTTACCTTCAAACCCTCAGTTAACTATAAAATTGTCCCAGTAACCCCTTGGCGGTGCAGAGTGCAGCTGCAAATGCTTCCAGATTATTGTCCACCTGATTCCAATCTCACCCTGTGAATAAGTCACCCTATAACAAACTGATCCAGTGATTATATGGAGCTGTCTGCCTCATTTTTTGGCCTCAAGATGTCTTTTGAGTTCAATAGGCACTTTTCATTCCCTCCATCCTCAGACAATTGGGAGGCCAGGCAGGAGACAGAAAATGATGCAGAAATGGATACGGGGGCCAAGCAAGGAAAAGCTCATTATCAGTGGGGGAAATCACACACTGGCCAGCCATTTCCATGTGGCGTGATCTGGTTACGTTTATGGAAAACTTCAGGCTGGTGCAAGAGTACCCTGAAAACGTGAAGGGCTCACTAGATCTATTAAGTGGTTGGAAAATGAAAATGGAAAAAAAGTGAGCAAGCTATTGCAGCTGTTGCATGGCCTTTGTTATGCAGTTTAAGGATGAGCACAGACAAGGAATTACAGTTCAGCTGGGAACTAGAGAAGACTAAAGAGGCACTAGCACTAGACAGGGATGTCTGGATGGCATGTTCTGCCACTTCAGACATTGTTTCAAAGAAAATACAACAGGAAGAATATAGTGAAGTGATGGGATGTAAGATGGCTAAATGTAGGGCCATAGGCTGCCCTGTTCAAAGGTGAGGACTATTATTTCACAGGAGAACTGGGACTCGAAGAGGTGGAATCCTTGGGCTAATGACTTGTCAGAAGACAAGGACATAACTATGGGGGAGGAAGAGGACCTATGGGCCTGGCTTCTGATCCAAACTAAATCACAGGCCACTAGAGAACGAAGAGATAATAGAGAGGAAATCCTTAAGAGCCAAAAAGCAACCATGCAGGAATTTTCCTCCCTGAATTAGTAGAATTAACCAGCAGATTTAAACAAAAGAGTGAGGACTGCATTGCAGCCTAGGTGCTCCATTTATGGGATACTAGGGGAGATGGCATTATGTTAAATGGGTAAAATGGCTTTTGTTACAGCACAGCCTGCCTTCTGGCAATGTTTGTATGTGACTGAGATGGGAGAAAATTGAGGGCACCCAGCCAACTTGATTGAATGGATTCATGTAGGTATAGATATGATTTGGCCAAATGAGGGAGAAGAGCTGTCACCCCCTAAGATGGGCATCTATGGAAAAGTTACAAGAAATAGTGAGGGAAGTAGGAATGAAGTGTGCTATCTATGCTCTTAATTTCCAGAGACCTAAAGAGAAGTTATTTACAACAGGCATGAAGGATTGTATCTTGCAGTCCACTCCAAGAGTTTGGTAGGGAAACTTAGATTCAGTTTTGGCTCCAGTGGTTAATCCACTCATTCATATGGCGGTGGCCATGATAGCTGATCTAAATGACACTGAAAGGATCCAACATAGGGAAATAGATAATTAGATTTAGATAAAACCAAAGAGAAAAAACAAAACATGAGGAAACTAAAGAAAGGGGCCTGAATAGAATTTCTTGCAAGCAATTGTGGCAAGACCTGGTATTAGCCAGGACCCCTAAGGAGAATACAGATAAACAACCTAAGTTGGTCCTTTTAAACTTATGGAAAGTATTAACCTAAAGAAAAACAGTTTAAACTGAAAAATTGTACTCTACGCTGGAATTTGACACAACATTGTAAAATGACTATAACTCAATAAAAAATTTTAAAAAATATATAAATAAAATAAAGAAAAACAGTTTACTCCTCTGGCAACAAGAGAAAAAGAAGAATGGCACAACCCAGTGCTCTACCACTGAGAGAAGATGAAGAACAGGGGTGGATACCCCCAACTCCTAGGGAGTAGGAGTGGGGTCAATGTTGCTCCTTGGAGGGGATGAGTGGAGGCCCCATGATGAACAGACTATTGTTCCTGCATCAATAAAAAGATTGTTCTGGCTTTAGTGGATACTGGTGCCAAGTACACCCTGATTTGTGGGAATCTATCCAAGTTCCAAGGGGGAAAATGAGCCTTTGATGGAAATGGAGGCCAAATGTTGTAGTGAAACAAATGAACTTGTATTTACAAATTGGAAGATTGCCTCCCTGATCCCTTTTGTTTATTTTTACCCATACCTGAGTATACTTCGGGTATGGATGTCCTACAAGACCTAGACTTCAAAAGGCAAGTTCTGCTTTTGGATCAGAGAGCTCAAGCCTGTAATCAAGGGTTATGCTAAATAAGGCCCCATGAAGTTTCCTATCCCCTGGAGATTGATAACAACAAAACAATATCACTTACCTGGGGGACAGGAATAAATAACAGCTATCATGAAGGAATTAGAGAAAGTGGTGGTATATGACTAGCACAAAGCCTGTTCAGTAGCCCCATGTGGCTAGTGGAAAAACCAAACCCCACCTGGTGCATGACAGCAGACTACAGAGAATTAAACAAGGTAGTACACCTTATCTATGCAGCAGTTTCATAGAAATCTTGAGTATGCTCTCTTCCTCTCTCAAAACATAGCATTGTGTCTTTCTTAGACTTTCTAACAACTTTTTCAGCAAACTCTTAGATAAGGGGTCCCAGGACCAGTACACCTTCACATGGTAAGGAAGACAATGGACTTTTACTGTCTTACCCCAAGGTTATCTGCATAGTCCTGCTATATGTCATGGGATGGTGGCCCTGGGCTTGGAGAAATGGGCTCTCCCTCCCTCTAGTTCTCTGTCATTACATTGATCATATTTTGTTAGCCTATAATGGCTTGTTTTCTCTTTCCTAAGCCTCTGCATCTCTTCAGGAACATTTCAACATGGGGATGGGAGTTAAACCCTGAGAAGGTGCAAGGACAGGTACAATCAGTAAAGTTTTTCAGCTGATTTCTTGGCAGAAACTTTGCAGGCCAGAAGGGAGTGGCATGACATATTCAAAATGCTGAAAAGGAAAAACCTGCAACATAAGATACTCTACTTTAGGATGGAAGGAGAGTTTTAAAATTTCTTACATTAGCCAAAACTAAAAGAGTTCACTGATACAAAACCTACCCTAAAATAAATTTTAAAAGATTTTCTCTGAGTAACAAAGTAAGGAAGCTACAGAAAAGGGAAAATCTAACTAGGAAAGGCAAATATATAGTAAAGACTAAGGATCAACCACTTAAATAAGCCAGTATAAAGATTAAAAGACAAAAATATAAAAGTAAGTATAACTATAATAAACAGTTAAGGGATAAACATGAAGATATAAAATAGGACAGCAACAAATACAAAATTTCAGGTAAGGGAGTGAAAAAAAGTAGATCTTTTAGAATGTGTTTGAACTTAAATGACTACCAGTTTAAAACAAGTAGAAATACCTATAGGTCAACATATATAAACCCAATGGTAACCACAAATTAAAAACCAACAATAGACACACAAAAATCAAAAAGAAAGGAACACAAGATGCTACTAAAGAAAATCATCAAACCACAAGAGAAGAAAGAAAAAGAAGAAGAAATGAACAGAGAAGAACTACAAAAACAACTGAAAAACAAGTAATAGGATGGCAATAAGCACATATCTATCAATAATTACTATAAATGTCAATGAACTAAATGTTCCAATCAAAAGTCATAGGATGGACGATTGGATTAAAAAAAAGACTCTTCTATGTGATGCCTATAAGAGATTCACTTGAGAGCTGAAGTCACACACAGACTGAAAGTAGGAGATGGAAAAAGATATTTCATTCAAATGGAAATGATAAGAAAACAGAGGTAGCAATACTTCATATCAGACAAATGGATGCAAAAACAAAAGGTGTAGCAGAAGATAAAGAAGGGCATTATACAATGACAGGGATAAATTCAAGAGGACATTACACTTGTTAAATGTATGCACTAATACAGGAGCATCTAAAAGTATAAAGCAAATACTAACTATCATAAAGGAAGAAATTGACAATAATACAATATTAGGAGACTTTAACACCCCACTTACATCAATGGAGAGATCATCCAGACAGAAAATCAAAAACGTGATACTGGTCTTAAACGACACAATAGACCAGTAGAACCCAGTAACTATCTATAGGATATTGCATTCAAAACCATCAGAATACACATTCTTTTCAACTATATTGGAGCTTTCACCAAGATAGATCACACACTAGGCCACAAAACAAATCTTAACACATTTGAGAGGATAAAAAATTATATCAAGCATTTTTTTGTACCACCATGGTATGAAACAAGAGATCAATGACAGAAAGAAAAATGGGAAAAGAATACTAAAAAAAAATGCTACTAAAAAAAATGAGTCAATGAAGAAATCAGGAGGGGATTAGAAAATATCTTGAAACAAATGAAAATGGAAACACACTGCTCCAAAATCTATGGGATGCAGCAAAAACAGTGAAAAAATGAAAGTTTATAATAATTCAAGCCTTCCTAGAGAACAAGAAAAA